CCGACCCTTTTGCTGCAATCCTTTAAATACAAAACCAAGATAAAACATCCCCCAAATGGAGGCATGTACAAACAATTGGAATTTGCATTAACCCAGGTCCCAGACCTGGGTGGGTTACACCTCAATGGGAACAGAAGGTAATTTACATGGAAGACCCTGGGAAAGGGCACGCCCATTACAGTAAGCAAAATATCTCTTAACTCTTAAGATCTGTATTATCTTTTAGTCTACTTTTGTAAGATTGACATTTCAAATGATACCAGATATGACTGAAGGGTCATATCTGGAAGGGAAGGAAGTCTCCAGCACCTCCACTCTGTGGGGTGTCTCGAAGATGCCCGTTTATGTTTGTATTGTCTGTTTCTCAGGAGATCAAAGTATCCGAGTTTCTTTAATCCTTACACACGCTTCAAACAAAACAGTCAGTGAAGACGAAGAAGAGGATGATGTGTTCTCCCGGCGCCTATTTATACTATAGTCACACCGGTAGTGACGTCATGGCTGTCGTCGGCCAACGTGTTGTTGGTGTTTTTTCAATGTATGCTTCAGACACGGGTCACGACGAGGCGTTCCCCATAGCAACCCCTAGAGGACGCAGTTCGAAGTTCCCTTGAAAGGGAACACAACCAGTGTAGTACAATTTCCAAACAAACTTCTTCTATAAGTCTGTCCTTTTTAGTGAAACAAAAGATAAGTTAATGAAACGGTGAGGAAACTGGAATCTTTAAGAGGAAACCGAACCAAAACTGTTGAATTATTCTCAGTTCCCTTCCTTAAAAACAACTGAACCTTGATTTGTTTTTCTACATCTGTTCCTAATCTTCAATTGGTTGTTTTGCTTATTTAATGCACTGACTATTTAGCTTCCACTTTTAGCATGTGGCATTCAGAGCACTGCTGATTGAGCCGTCTGCAAAACACAATGCTTTTTTTCTCACATTTGCACCATAGATAGAGATACAGATAGTTTATTCAGACCCTTGGCAAAGTCTTGTCTCATTTCAGGGACTTGAGAATCTATTCAGAGAGGCAGCATTTAGATGTAAATCTGGCTGATATAAAACCCTGCTATTGAGAGATAAGGAGGTCACAGATGTCATCGCAGTGTCTTTTATGTGATAGCTGTTCAGAGACGACGAGCTAGGATTGAACCCTGAGGTGACATAGCGGCGCACTAAACAGGACAGAATGTGTCTGCATCAACCTTCTCCCAGCGTGGGCTTCGCATGCACACACACACAAACACACGCGCATACGAAAAAAAACACCTGTGATTCGCATCACAATGCCAGTCATTTTTCCTCCTCATTGCACCCGATTTCATCAGACCTGCATGTTTCATCTTGACCTGCAAAAGGGTTGACTGACTACGACAGCAATGCAGATGAGTGGGTGAGAAATGCAAAGCTTCTGTTGTATACTATGCTCCAAAGGGACGAGACTAAAGATGCAAGTGTGTCTTCATGAATATGGGTCTTCCAATAAAAGGAATAAGAAAAAATATCAACTTTTATTGGTAATGTAGCAATGTTTTGCCTATTATTTGGCTTTTTTTAGTCAATAAACTCAAACCATTGGCTGAGGCCAGTGCTGCTATTGTGGGATGATTGAGATTTTAGTATATGTGTGTATGTGTATATAAGTGTATTTTAACTTTAGTGTTTAACATTCCTCAAAATGTACAGTGGGTACGGAAAGTATTCAGACCCCCTTAAATTTTTCACTCTTTGTTATATTGCAGCCAAATTGGAGATTAACTCAAAATTTAAGTATTGTAGCATATATTCCATGCGTTACCTTTAATGTCACCTATGTGCTACTGTACTAGAAGTTGGAAACAATCTTTTAACAGCTAGATATAAATTTTTCTGCGTAAATAAATAAAAATACTGATAACTCCTCTAGCACTTGTGGTTATATCCAAAGTTTTGTCCAATAAAATATTAGCAATAGCAAAGAAAGAGAATGACTGTCTACAAAAAAAAAAAAGGCTAAGCACAACTAAAGCCTATTGGCCATTTCTGAAAAATAAGTGACATCCCAACTTCCTGTTTCAATAAGACCTTTTAACATAAGAAAGAAACCTGTGCTTGTCAAGCAATTTCATACAATCCTAAAAGCACACTCGTGTTCTGACATCTCAAGCGTTTCCTTATTCCCTGGAATATGGAGAAGGTACAGCTGAAAGAATAAAATGCAATTTGCTCTTTAAAGGTCAACTTTCTAAATGTTCCATTTGCATGGTTTATGAAAAAGGTATCGCTAGATTTGCATGAATATTTAACAAGCCACTATAAACAGCTTAACCTGAGTTTATCAAGGGCTCCGTTTCTCACACGCATTCATTTGCTTCACTACTGCTTCCCAATCTTAGCTAAAAATCTCCATTAAAGAGATCTATATGCAGTATATCATGATTCTGACATATAACATGCAATATTTCATTATGTAAATTAGCAGATAATGGTGCTAAAATGGATCGAAACACACATTTCAGAGATGTGTTTTCATGTGTGTGGTTGCCTTCTGCACACTCACGCGATGACAGCCCAGCTCCTCTTCAGGGGTAACTCCCCTGGCCTAAAAAGGCAAAACATAATGCCGTTGCTGCCGGGGACTCTAAGAATAAACCACACAGTCCAGTCACAGATAAGGTTACCTTGAAACCCGTCCTCCCCTCTCTCCCATGTTTCCTGACCCACACACACATCATGGGCTGGTAACAAACATAAGGACAACCTAGGGCTTGATTTGCTCTGTTGACAGCCTAGCCTTGTTTTTTCCCCTTCCTGCTGGTACTTGGTCCCAGCTGGAAGTGTATAGTTTTTTTCCTATGCCAATTTAAGCAACAGGTGCCATTTTTTTTTTTTTGCTTCCTTGTAGGGGGCCCTGGCACAAGCGCAGGTTTTATTGGGACTCTAACAGGAAAGGCACAGAGAGCCATTGTGGTGCTTTCGATCGGAAAACTATTCCGGACCGGGGAATTGACTCTTGAGATTGTGTTTTCAGCCTGTTAGTGCATGAGAGAGATGGAAGGTACTGTCAAATTCATTTTCCAGTTACATTTCTAAGTGCATTTAACAATAAGGTGTAATTCAAACAAATGTTAGTGTATGTAATGTAAATTATGCTACTAACAGTATATAGTCAAGTATTGTACTTTAACTTAGTCACTTAGTCAAGTTAACTGTCTCTTAGACAGCAACCATCTGCTTTGCAGGGGAATTTTATGGTTGAAAGCTGCTAAAAATACACCATATCATATGGCTCTATGGGAATCTGTAGTTCTTTGAAGCAGGCCTCTGATGTTGTTGCAGCTTTTTAAGGGTTTTAGTGTTATCAACTGAAATACAGTTCAATCAGCTAGAGAGGAAATATATTTAAAGGAATAGTTCACCCAAAATTTTTTATTTAAAAAAGTATTTTAAATTTACATTTCAAACAGTTCTTGAAGTAATTTACTTACCCTCAAGCCGTCCCCAACCCGTATGATGATTTCACCATTTGTCTTCCACAGAAGAAATTACAATGAACAATTACAATGAACAGTGACTGAAGCTTTAAAAAGGACACAAATGCACCATAAAAGAGGTCCATGCTACTAGTACATTCTTCTCACGTCATTGCAGTGAGATCACGGAGTCAGTGGTTTTGGTTTAAGATTTGGACTAGATTGATTCATGAATAAATCACTCACTGAAAAGATTTGACTTAAAACAATGATTGATTTACAAATCAACCATCACTACTTCTCTCAAGAGCAGCAGCTGTCAAGATAATCAGTGAACAACAACTCCAGTCTGTTTCACAGTTATAGTATGACTTTTGAAAACTTGGAATAAAGTTACAGTAAGCTTTCAATGGGGACTGAAGCTTTTCAGGAGCCACAAAAGTGGTTCACGTGACTTAAAGTTCCAGTTTCTCTTCAAAACATATTCATTGATAGTTGAGTCATTTAACTCCTAGATTTAGAAATGTGGTATTCTCAAAGATGTTCCCAAGACATTGAAACCCTCTCAGTTTCCAAACCAAAAAAGGAGTGTGTTTAAAAATGTTGAAACCTTTTTAGAGTCATTATCAGTAACTTGAGATAGAGTTCCAAAAAAAAAGCCAATTATTGACGTCAAGGGCCTGCATAAATGAGCCCCAGTCTTGCGTGAAATGGCTTAATGCTGCAAAGACTTAAAAGTACATTTGATATTCTGATTAAACTGTGAAAAGTCTCTCAGATCAGCCTGAATAAATCATATTTAAAGTGACACTTGAGGGAATAGCGGTGCAGAGTTTTTTTTAAGCTGACTTCATTGTCTCAACAGCTCTCACTTACTAACCTGGGATTAGTTTCCATGGATATCCACACACGGATCTGAGGAGGACAAGGTTTCATATTAAAATACGCAATGAGAAAAGGGCCATTTTCTGTGCCACCTTCCGCCACTGTTCGGTTTACAGTGCAACGCGAGTTGAAGTGGCATTTGCGCACTGTGTTGCCATGGAAAGATTTCTCCTAAGCCTTTTGTGTACACTATCTGCGATCTTATGTTTCTGTACAATCAGATACTCAAGCTTGTAGACAATCTGCAAGGGCGAAGTCATGATAACACAGAAAGATGCAGCATTACTCCAAACCAGATGCAGCTAAGCATATGGTGTCTACAGGAAGCTTCTTGAGTCAGCATTTGGATGGGACGTGTAATCCTAAATTTGACAACAGGGACAAATGTGAAGAGTTGCAACAGGTGGTCTCAGCTGACACTTTCGGCGTGTGACGAAACCCCTGAACACACAGACACGTCATTATGTTCAAGCAAAAGTGGAGCCAGTGAAAAACGTTGGATCTCTGGGCAACAGGGCCAACAGAAACAAGAACCACTGCCTTGATCTGGGCTCAGATTCACAGTGGATCATCCACAAATTAATTTCCGTAAACACAATCACAACGGCTTGCTCAAGAATCAATCATTTACCATGATTTAAGTCAGCAATATTGGCAAAGATCAATCAAGGGGTCTCGTAAACGTAGCGGCATATATAAAGGTTATGTGTGGTGTATGTTTGGACTGAACAGCAATTCAGACTGAGCTGCTGCAAGAATTTATATCAATTTAGAAAAGAGGCTTTTAAAGGGGCTCCGGCCAACAGATGGCACAGCACCAGCATTCCTCATGTGGCCTTGGAGATGTTTTAACGATGAAACATTGCCATTGCAGATGTGTGCCCTATCTACAGACAACAAGTTCAATTCAATCTCTCTGTCAGGCAATGCATTGATAAAGACAAAAAGCAAACATTCATCTGCTGTCTAGCTGTCTTTGTCTTCATAACTCTTATGTCCTTTCTGCACAGAGAGTGAGCAACATGACAGAACTAGATAACTTTTAATGTTATGTGCATACAGTAGACAGATTCCCTGAATATCTTTGAACATCAAAAGCTTTGTTTCCAGACAATATGTATGTGAAAAATCATACTATCTCCAACATATTAGAAAACAAGGCATCGTTTCCATCCCATGTGTTAAGAAATTAGTGTAAAATACTGTAGAAATTAAAGTTGCAGCCACTGCGGCTCATTTTACTCGCTGTTTGAAATGTGCAGACAAAATGCCCTTTGTTTTGTCTGTAGATGCTCTATGCAGACAAAATAAACTATGTTTGTAAACTATCAACAGCAGATGCCTTATTTCTGGGAGCAACAACATATCAGATGGTTAAGGAAGTTAATAGTAGCCAATCATCTGATTCGAGTAGTTCACACAAAAAATTATCAGCATTTACTCACCCTCATTATTTTAAACTTGTATGATTTCCGTTCTTTTCTGAAACACAAAATAGATATTTTGAACATTTTCATCTGTTTTGTCACTACAATTAAAGTCAATCAGACCCGAACCTTTTAAACTCCAAGAAGAACAAAGATAGTATGAAATTAATCCATGAATTGTATATTGCAGGTATATTGTTGAAGTGGCGCAATCACTTTATATGATGAATATTTTGATCAAATAAAGTCAAAACATAAAGAGGAACTGACATAATTTCTATTTTATGGTGAACTATTCCTTTAAAGTGTCCATCATACCTGGTTTGATATTGGTTCAAACACTAACCATCTGGGCTCTAACACAACCAAGATGTCAACTCCACCAGTGACTACAAACTGAAACTGAACCTGATACTTACCATAAATTACCAGCTTGAACCAATTAGAATGGTTCCTTATGGTTCCTTATGGTTTAACCTGTTTTGTACCTGTCTTGTTTGCATTCATACTAGGGCTGCACGATAAATCGCATGCGATATTTAACATTCATACATTTCTGAACCTCCATCTGTCCCTACAGCGCGGTCCTCCACCACTACGACTACCATAGTCGAGGCTAAGAATGACCTGAGCGCACATCCCACACGTTCGTCCAAACGCACCTTAACCGATGACCTGCACACCACGTTCAGCTCCCCCATGGCCTGGATCCTCGTGCTGGCTCTCATCGTAACCTGGTCGGCCGTGGCGGTCATTATGTTTGACCTGCTCGACAGCAAGGGTCTTGAAGGTAGGTTCAGCTCTCTTATCTTGGTCCCTTCGTTGGAGAGTTATTTTGGAACAGTTTTCCTGAAGAGATTATAGGTTGGACGCAGCAGTCTATTCTTTTATTGGCTACCTGATTGAGGGCTTTATATTATTCGTTAACTCTTGGCTTAAAGTAAAACAGGACTCAGATGAGGTGTAATTGGATGCTTGGACGAGTCTTTACGACGCGATAAAGCTCCGAGCTCGTTTTCTTGCTGGAAGTTTATCAGCAGTGCCACAGGGCAAACTTGTGAGGCTTCTAAAAAGAGCGGGAGGGAGGGATATTGACTGGTTCCTGATAGCATTGACAGTGACAAGGATAGATAGGGTGTCCTGTTGGCCAGGCTGCTATCAGCCACCGCTGCATTCATGTGGAGTCAGAGAAAAGTCCTTGTAGGACACTATTTTACCTTGTATTACCACCTGATGATACATTAGAATCCATTGTTGATGCGAGGAAGATAATAGAACGACCGTTTTGGTGCTAAATTGCTTGAAGTTGCAGTCATCTGTTCCTCCGTGTGTCAGTAGTTCCATAATGACAATTTTGAACTCTTCAACTGTTTAAAAATTTTCATTGTTTAGCTGGATTTATCACTGTCATTGAGATCACATCTCATTCACAATTCATTCCATCACAAGCTCTAGAACACAAACACATTAACCCATTTTTGAAAGTATTTCAAAAAGGAAACATTAGACTTTCATTGTCATGTAGTTCACTACATGATTGCACCGCCCCACATTAGGAGTCACATTTACGTTTACTTATTTCTAATAAGTTTCCCTCCTTTTTCCACCCTGTCCATCACCATGTGTCATCCTGTTGCCATCCAATAAAAAGCCCATACATTATACTGTGACGACCCCTGTTTACCACCTGGTAAAGACTCTCTGCCTGCAGTTCAGTGCTAATGCCAGTTTTTGTGTGTGCGTGTGTGTTTTCCTGCATGCAAACAGGGAGCAACTGTCACTCTCATCTCAAACATTCATTCGGACATGCAAATTTACTGAACCATGTAATCTGTCTGTCATGAACACAACATCACTTCCTCTAGACTTTCATGCATTCCATTCAGTGTGACACTACACCTTTGACTTTATCATAATGGCAAAGTGAATTGTGGAACTAAGTTCACTTTGAAAGCAGATTGCACTGTGCTTTATGGTAATAAAAAAGTGATTGCTTCAGATTTCAGACATCTGATTGGGTTTTACATTTACTTCAATCACCTCTGTGCCAATGTACAACTGTGCCAATAATATTTCTCTATGCACCCACGAAGAAAGATTAATCAGAATTTTTGTCTTGCTTCCCATTAGTAATATCTAAACACCTACAAACAAGATAGATTTACTTATAACTATAAATTTTAAAAATAACAAAGTCAGACTGGTTTTGAAAGAATGCATCTAAACCACTAGCAAAGAGTATAATCTCCTGTTTTGAACATAGTTCACTAAATTTTCTTACATTTCTGATTAAAACAAGAAAAACATTTGCAAATGGGGTAAAAATAATAATAATTATAATTCAAGATACATTCTTTGAAAATCTTAATACCCAATTTGCATCGAGTATATTTATCCTGTTTAAATATTTAGATCTGTTAATTAAAATAAGGCTTTTGCTTTTAAGGAACAACAGTTAACAGTGCATATTAAAAAAGAAAAAAGGTGTTGTGTCACCAGAATGTACAAAAGTGTTCATCTTTCATATTCCTGTGCATAAAATAATGGTTTATTTTGGTCTCTAAATTAAACATACACATTACAAAATAACGCATTTGTAATGCCAGACATTTAAAAAAGATAAATAATAATAGTAATAATAGCTCCAAATATTGTTTTCAAATTAAGTAATTTGTAGTTCCAAATGTTGTTGTACATTGAAATGCAACATGAATCTAATTTAAGCTCAAGAGACAAAGATATCTTCTTACCCGTTATATTAAAAAAATATGTAAGCTAAGTTAATCATAAACATCATAAATCAGACCTCATATCATAGTATGGGCTTGACGTGAGGGGTATAAAACAGTATGGCATCATCAAAATGCCTGTGGCTCTGATTTCATCAGAACTACAATAACATAAAGGGAATGAACACCATTTTTATTCTAAGTGCAAAATGCTTCAAAAAAATCATGCGCCTGCAGCAAAGACGTGAGAAAATATTAACAATAATCTGAAATTCTCAGAACAAAAATATACTAAACTTTTTAATTAAAAAATGTGGACTGTATATCATTTGAGAGACTTTAAACCATAATTTTATTTGAGCCAGCATGACATCAATAAGCTTTGTGCCAATTGCTCCCTTCCACCCTATGATATCCAACCTCCATGTGTTGGTGTCTACAATGCGATATTGCTTTCAATAAGCCTCAAATTATTCACTTCAATCAATTAATTTTATTCTAACATCGATAACTATGCTTTGAAAGCACTGAAGCGTGACTTCGTTTATTAACTGTGTGGTATTGAACGGCAACTCCTCTTTGCCATGCAGAATGATTTGATTCTTTTTTCATTAAATGCATTGAGCAAAACAATGATATTTTACCTGTAGAATATTAATGAAGTATTCTATGTTGCAGATTTCTCACATTCTTTACAGGAGAAGGAATATATACTTTAATTTCCCTCTCAATGCACAGCTAAGCCTGGAGAAATGGCGATGCGGAATCATGGGGAGGAAGTTGGCACTTTGGCCCGTCTTAACACAGCCTTGCATTTACAGAGTCTTTACCATTTGCCTTCAGGTGGTCTATAAGGGTGGTTCTCAACTGGTTTTGCTTCAGAACCCAAATTTTATAATGGACATGAAAACCCAAAACAGTTTTAAAACAGTCTACCCCACAAAAGTAAACAGAAAAATCCATAAAAATGAAAAATAATTCGTATTTCTTTTACCTTGTGTAGCTTTTATCAATGTCTTTTTTGGATGAAGGAATGTTAGGCAACATTTCATGCTGGTGTCTGTCTTCATTTTGCTAGCTGTCTAATTTGCACCAGAAGCTGAGAGCCACCGGTCTACAAAACAATAATAAAAAATTTTAAAAAAACACAGGAGAACATGCATTTCCACCAATTACATTGAATGGCAAGAATATTGTGATGACAATAACGATTTTTCTAAAGGTAAAAGACATCAGGATTAAACTGACACTGCCACAGATAACAGAAAATTATGGCACGTGTACAATAAGCCATTAAAATCAGCACTGTGTATAAACATATAATATATACATAGTTCATGACTGGTAACAAACTTCTCTAGTTCCCTTTACTGTTGGAAAGCTGTGGTCATGAAAAGAGGAGTCAAGCGCAGAGGACTGTGCGGTATGAGTGAAGGGTGAAGCTTCACTCACTTTCAAGACAAGATTCAAAGACCACTGTGTTCCCCAGTGCTGTGACTGAGATTCTGTTGGGAATCATTCCCCTCATGCCTGTGGAATAGTCTAGTGTACTCTTTTTGCCCTGGAGCCTCAGTCACATGACTGGTCAATGCAACAGTATAATTCTAAGAACAACTTAGATCAGCATAAGTGATTCACATACTCACGTTCTAAGCAACTGCATCAGAGTTCCTCAGAACATTGATACAATTGAACTAAAGTACAAAATATTGGTAGCCATAATAAACAGAAAAAAACCTTTTATGTTTGTCTATTATACTGCTTTCTGTGATTTTGCCAAGTAGGGCATGTACTTTAATTTCTTGTTGGTGATAGAGCAACAGTACGATCAACCTACCATTTCGATTTTTCATTTGGGAGCATGTCCTACTTGGCAAAATCATAGTCAGCATATCATAGCCATGACAAACTGCAGAGCTAGATTTTCAAATATGCAGAATATTATCATGTACATTAAGAAATTGATTTTTAACCACCAATGACATTCCTGCAAAAAAAAAATAATAATAATAATTTTCTTGCTAAGAATTTTCAGTATTGTTTTTCATTATTTTTCGTACCGAACTGGCAAATTATTAAAAAAAATTTTTTCCCACGCATGCATAAAAATAACAAAATACAGTGAGGTTTAAAAAATATTTGCCAATAAAATAATTACACACATACATATTTAATAAATATTTACTTGGTAAAAAATCTTATGCTTATATTATACTAGAGAAGGATGTTTGGACAAAAAAGAAAAAATCCAGATTACGAAAATGATTTCTGCATTGATAAAAAGAGCAGACATATTACTATAGATAAGACTGAAACCAGCACATTTGTGCACTTTGTCCTCGAGATATGTATAAAACGTGAAGACATTCATTCAGTTTGAGCTCATTGTATCTTTACTTAAGCATTCATCTGTATGGCTTTGTGTCTCTTATATTGATTTCATTGGTTCAGCAGCATTACCCCTAGAAAAAATGTCTATGGTTCAGATATCCGTTATAGCTCAGGAGATTTTTTTTTTTTTTTTTTGA